GATGCCTTGCTAAGCTTGTTCTAAGTAGGTGCTTTAGACCACTGAGCCATCTCTCCAGCCCAATTCATCAAGATTTAAATAACACAATCTTATTTTTGTTTATACTGTAAAAGTGCTTGTTTAGTTCTGTAAGTCACTGATTCATGATAAAGACTGCTTTCTCTCCAAGGAATCTCTGTCACAATGTGGGAGGCAATCCTATCAGTAGCTAGTAGTATTTTGATGCCACAGATGTTGGTAAACATCTTACAAAGCACATCCTACAAGCATAACATAGTCAGGTTTGGTGGTGCACAATTGTAATCCCAGCACTCTAGGAGACTGAGGCAGGAGGATTACAAATTCCAGCCCAGCCTGGTAAAAACTTAGTGAGACCCTGTCTCTAAATAAACAGTGATAAGAGGCCTCTGGATATAAATCAGTGTAAAGGCCCTGGTTTAAATTCCAGTACCCCCATAAACAAAAGCAAAAGCAAAAGCAAAAGCAAAAGTAAAAGCAAAAGTAAAAGCAAAAACAAAAGCAAAAGCAAAAGCAAAAGCTAAAGCAAAACAAAACAAAACAAGAAAGAAGAGAAAACATGAGACAGCTTTCTCTTTCTAGCAAAGAAAGATCAGACCCTAAATATCAATATTTCTGATAAGTCCTATGAGAAGCAGGGCATAGATTCACCTGGAATACTCTAGTAGCAGAACAGAATGGGTGACTGTTATTAAACTTTGTTCTTTATTTTCTGATATTGGGACATGCTGAAAAGTTTGATGGTAGGGAAGAGATTCCCTTCCTAGGACTAGCCTTTACAGTAGGCCCAGCCAGTCTCCAAGGCAGTCACTCTCAGTCACCTCTATTCATTCCACAACCCAGCCATTATCTCCCTTACTGTAAAGCAGCCTGGAGCCAGGTACCAGGCACCTAGAGATCACTCCTGGAGAACCTGAGCTGAGGCCCACCAGAACTGCTCGAGCTGGCCGATCTTAAACTGTGCCCTTTGTCCTGCCCCAGGCTCTGGCTTCAGTGTCCCTCCATTTCCTATCCTCTGCTAACTGGACATAGCCCTGGTCTTTCCTTGTGAACTCTAACAGGCATCATATCCAGTACACGATTCTTAAAACAATAGGTAAAGAAAATAATTCTGTTCCCCTTCTTCACATCTGGTGTATTTCTGGGGAAACCTACTTGAAAAAATAACAGCAAGAAATAATCTACATACTTTCTCAGGGCACTTCTTCCCTGGCGATATTCCTCCAGCTCTCGGTAACAAGTCTGCTTGCTGATTTCTTTTTCCCAGAAGCTTTTGAGCTCATCACACGTCTCACAGCAGAAAACTTCCCGGCGGATATATTGATTGTTCATCCCTGGAACATAAGGACAAAGAAAATTACCAGGCATTCAGATAAAGCCATGCCAATTTAGGTGAGTTCAAATACTGCCATTTAAACTTTATGTGTGTGCCTTTACACTCATCACATTATGAAGCTGCTTTCTTAATGCAACTGTGGATAACAACAATTACATCAGAAAATACTGTGAAAGTTTTTGAAATGAAAAAATTAAAAAGGGTGGATGGGATGAACACTTCCTGGCATGCAAGACTCACATGTGACTACAGGGAAAAAACTGAAAAAGTCTATAAATCTATAAAAACCCCACTTCTTTTCTTCTTCCTCTTCCTCCTAGACCCATTTCCTAATCATCTTTTCTGGGCAAGCCTGTGCTAGGAGCATGTGGGAAGTTAGTGGTGGTGATATGGGTCAAGTTAGGGATGACAGAAGAAGACTGGGGGGCACAAAGGGGGACAGAACATTTCTTAAGTGCCTATCAACCATCAGAGGGTCTGTGAGTTAATTCTTGTAACTCATAGTCACTTGAGAGCCATTGCCTTCTCCTTTATGTCATTGGCATTCTAAAACTTTTAAATTAGTTTAGTTTAATTTGGAAGTAGAAGTTGAATCTTTATCATGCACAATGTGATAGGCTGATTTGCTGTGGTGGTCACTGCCTTTGTTGAGGCTTTACAGATGGAGGCGGCTGGAAAGCCCACACCCTGCCCAGCACACACAGATAAATCCCTAGAAAGAAGGAAGCTTGACTTTGGTGTCCTCTCTGCCTCAAGGTGCTCAGAGCTCTTTCCTGTGACTGATACGCACAGCAGTGTTGGTGACTTAGTGTAGGTCAAGTTTCTTGAAGAAAGAAGCTCAGTCTTTTGTTGGCACTTTTTTTCTGCCTCGAAGGTGTTTGGTTATTCTTCATTAATTTAAATGTTCCCTTTCCAAATTGTTGTTTTCATGAGTAGAATTTGCCTAGAAATGGTGATTCAGAGGTCAGAGAATGAATGGTTTTGTACTTTCTGGGTAAGAGAAATTGACTCTCATGGGCCGGGCAGTCTTGCCAGGCAGGGCCTGTGCGTGGCTTGACCTCTGGCTTGACCCTTGCACACTCTTCTGTCCTCCAAGAGCTTCTTCCATACATTGTCTTGCAGAGGCTAATGATTCAGTGTGAAGAAATCTCATACATTTCTAGTCACTGAATATTGGAAGAAAAACAACTTGCTAAAATATATCTGATTTTACATTTTCATTTAATGTACCCTGGGATTGGCATGCTTGTCCTTCCTTAGGAGTGAGATCCCCTGTGGAGCTTGTTCTCCAGGGGTATCTAGAGTTCCTAGATCCTCTGAGGTACAAATGAGAGATAGAACATAGGGAGGGAAGAATTAAATGCACAGCTTACAGTGCACCCAGGCCAATATGATATTACTCTCATGAATGATTTTATCCGCATATTCCTTGCTTACAAAATGCTCCTAAAGATTTTGAAAATGGATGGTTTCATAAAAATATTTTTCTTCTCTCAAAACTTAGAATTAGTGTTTTAAAGAGCACAGAGGTCAGTGCGGGCAGAGGAAGGTTCTGCTCCCTTTGGTCAGTCAGGAGGGTGGGGTCTGTGTTCATTACAGCAGGCAGTGCAGTAGCAGAATGAAGAGCTGGGATACATGAAAAGCTAAGGGTGGAGGGGGTTCCCATACCCTCATGAAGTGAACTGAAGGTGGAAGAGCTCGGCAGCAGCTATGAAGGGCTTCTCTGTCTCCTATTGTCCTTGGGTCAGTAACTACCTAGGGTGGGGGTCCATTTTTTGGAGGAAGTTGCAAGAATTGGCCATGACTTATAAGGAGACTTGAGAGGGATGTTGAACTCAGATGCTCCCAGCGGCCTGGCAAGCAAACTTCAGAACAGCAGGAAACCCCAGACACTGCTCGGAGAGCTCAGCTACTGTAGAGCAGATTAAATAGTCAGCACTGTACAGGACTACCTTGATCTCTCACTCCTCCTTCTTTGAGGGATGACATCCTCTCCTGACTGCTCGAGCCTATGCCCCATTTATTTATTTGCAGTACCAGGGATTGAACTCAGGACCCTGCACTTTCCAGTCTATGCCTTTCTTCCGAAATTGTCCTCAGAGCTGCCTCTTTGTGTTCCCTTTCAAGGATCTCTGAACCATTTAACTCTGTCTTTCTCCTTTCCACCAAATCTGCAAAGCATTCAAGTCCCACCCTGGTTGACCAGACCCACACCAGGTCCTCTACTGTGACCCTGAGCAAAGTAATCCCTCACTTGCCCTGGGCCCCACTTTTATTACCTACCAAGTGGAGACTCAGAGTGCTAATGTGCTGTGGTTCATCTGTGGAAGTCTACCCAGCCATAGCTCCATGCTGTCTCCAGGGCACCCAGTCTCTTGCTTTGCTCCTGGGAAGCATCAAAAGTGTGACCTGATGTTGAACTACCATCCAAACACATTCGTTGTCCAAATGCTTCACTTCTGATGGACCCAACCCATATTTCAGGTTTATTTATCTCTGTTGCTGGGCTGTCCAGATTAGAAAGTCAAGGTCACAGGATGAGTGACTTCCCATCTTGTCCAAGGCCAGTGTTGGCGGGTGGACAGAGAGGCCTTTAGTAAAGCTCCAGGTGATGAATCTTGTCCTCCTACCACTTAGTATATTGCGTTTGTGGGCTCTCTGTGGTCTGGCCCTAGGACGGCATTCACTGAGCCATGTCGAACATGTTGAGAAGAGACTGTCTGCCTAAAATTGATAAGTTGCCACTAAGCCATGTCTGGCTTAGTCTCCCTGTGAGACTTCTGTCTAGCTGCTGGTTTTGTTGGAGATGGTTGAGAAAGCTGGGCTTTCATAAGAGGAAATGCATTTTGACTTAATTGAGCTGTGCCATCTTTAGTCTCATTTTTTAATCGTTTTTCCTTGTTTTACATTTATTACTCCCAACAAATTATTATACTTCAAACAGTGTAATTGTTGCTGGTATCAGCTGCTTTTGGGCTCTAGAGAAATGAAATTGATATCAATTTAAGTAACAAAATAAACTATAGAATATGAAATGTTAGATATACATATATAGCTATTCCAGAATATAGAATAAGGCAAGAAATAGGACCAAAAAGTGTCCAGAAGGGGTACTGATAGAAAATTAAGGCTAGTCACTGTGTGGACTGTGCTCAGGCGCAGCCGCCTGAGGGTCACCAGGGAAGGACAGGCACTGCTTGTTTAGGAAGGGACAGGGGACAGGACAGCGCTATGGTCTCTTGTAAGATGGGCCATAGAAATGAGAAATCCAAAGGAACATGCAAGCATCCATGCTGGGGGGAACTAGAGCCCCACTGAGCTGCTGTCAGTGAGTGACAAGATTGAGCTTCTGGGGCTGGGGAGGTAGCTCAGCGGTCTAAGCACTTGGCTGGCAAGCATAAGGATCTGGGTTCTGATCCCCAGGTGCTGCCATGCAGGCTACTGAAACCGGGTGTGGTGGCGCATGCCTGTAATCCCAGTGCTGGGGCAGCTGAGACAGGAGAATCACTGTGAGTTTGAGCTGTGTAGCAAGACCCTGTACCAAATAAATAATGAATAAATAAATAAATAAATAAATAAGATTAAGCTCCTGTTGTTTACAGGAGAAACTTCTCAAACCTATCATCTCTATTCTGTTCTTGTACACTTCATTTTTTAAAAAAATAAACCCAACTTCAGATCTTACTTCAGATCTAAGTTTCAAAGAATGATTCTTTTGTGGGGTATGCAGGGTGGAGGGGGATAACTTCCCTGCAGGTAGCTTCTGTATGCTTGTGATGTGTCTTTTTTTGTTGCCTTAATCCTGAGATTCTCTGAAAATAAAGGATCATTTCTTAGTTCTAACAGCCAGATAACAGTGCTGTCCCTCATTCTCAGCAGCTTAAAAATAAAGAGCAACAAACTGATACAAGTATAATACCCCAGAGTTCACATAAATGAGTTACTTTGTTTACTTTCGTAGTCAGCACTTAGAAATAAAATCCGCTGCCCTGTGCATACTTAAAAAATGTATCACCAAGAACTTAAAAGTTAGCAAATACTGGTGAGGTTGTTGGGAAGAAGGAGCCCTTCTATATTGTTGATGAGAATGTAAACTAGTGCAATCACTATAGAAATCAGTATGGAAATTCCTGAAAAAGTAAAAACAGAAATTCTGTTCACCTCTGTCACACCTCTTCTGGATGTCTCCTTGAAAGAGTTAAAGAAATCATGTTTCAATAATACATGCTTAGAGCAGCACAATTCATAATAGATAAATACCGGAAGCAGTCTACATGACCATTAGCAGATGAATAGATAAAGTAGGTATGTATGCATAAAGGAGGATAAATCTGAGTCCTTCGTAGGAAAATTTATGTACCTTGAGACCATCATGCTGAACTAAATAAACCAGACACGGAAGAGTAAATATGGAATGGTTTCTCTTATACGAGAAATCCAAAGTATAGGTAAAGCACAAAATAAATGATGAATGTTAGGAAACAGGGAGATAGACTTTGAAGAGTTGGGAAGGACATTTTAGGACGAGAGGGAGACAAGAGGGAGGTAGAGGGAAGGAGAAGAAATAAGAAGGACCAACATGTGATACATACATGCCCTAGCTCTCCATATACCAACAAAACATTTTTATTTATTTATTTATTTATTTATTTATTTATTTATTTTTTGCGGAACCAGGGATTGAACTCAGACCCTTGCATTTGCTAGGGAAGCACTTATTCCACTGAGCCATTTCCCCGGCCCCCCAACAAAACATTTAAAAAAGTATCAGGTTCTCTGTATCTGTCTTTTATTTTCCCTAAGTTTTATAAAATCATGGGTATAGAGAGCCAGTTCTTGTCTTTAAGAGAGAGCAACAGTAGGGCAACACATTGGTATTGGTGTCTGATACCCAGCCCTGTAGCAACAGGCAGAAGTGAGCAGGGCAGCAGAGCAGCTGTCCCCATGGGGCTGGGATAAAACTTGCCTCCAAGCTCCACCTCCTGGTGAGTGGGCA